ATGGATGCAGGATCGAACAAAGGCGCCTCAGGCCGATCTTTGAGGGCCCGGAGCTCCTCCTGCTTCTCCCGGCACGCTCCACAGAGGGGCAGATCCTCGGGGCTGGCCGCCAGATGCCTCTCCAGCTCCAAGACCTCCCATTCTAACTGCTCTATCGCTACATCCCTCCGTCAGCTGGCACCCTGGGTGTAGTCACAGCAGAGGAGCCAGATGCGCACCTTCCCCAGGTCCCACCACCGCCACACCAAGGGAAAGGCATGCCGCTGCCCTCGCCATGGCAGCCAGAACTCCCGGAAGGATGCCACAAAGCCCACATCCTCCAACAAGCTGTTGTTGAAATGCCATTAGGCCGGCCCCAGCCTCTCCACGCAGAGAGAGGCCGTCACGATGGCTAGATGATGATCAGAGAATGGGGCCGGCTGGATGCTGGAGGAGTGGGCCCGTGAAAGGTGGAAATGTGATAAATAGATGTGGTCCAACTGGGAGTGGCGCAACCAATGGGCCTCCACCAGGACAAAGGTGAACATTGAAATGTCATCCAGGTGGTGGTCATGCCAAACGTCCACCAGGGAGTGGTGTTCGACTATCTCCTGGAGGACATCCACGGCAGCCGGGCACTGCTCGGTCCCTGAGCGGTCCCGCTCCTCAAGGGTGGTGTTAAAGTCCCCGCCCAGGACCAGGCACTCGTGAGGATCCAAGGTGCCGAGGAAGGCAGATGCCTGCTGGTGGAGTTGTAGCCGCTCCGGGCCCGATGTCAGGGAATAGACGTTAACGAGGTTGACCACAAGCCCCTACATACGGACCCGGAGGTGCAGCAGGCAGCCCAGCACAGCCTCAATGACCCCCAGTACCTTGGACCGTAGGTCGGGGGAGAACAGGGTCACCACTCCAGCCGTACGAACTGAGAGATGGCTAAAGTAAACCCTGTCCCCCCAGTCCAGCCGCCAGCTGTCTTCAGCGGCCGAATCCGTATGGGTCTCCTGCAGGAAAACCACAGAGTACCCCCCCCGAAGGAAAGAGAGCACCTGGGACCTGCGGAGACCCATCCTACAGCCCCATATGTTCAATGTTGCGATGATGAGTGGTGCCAAGAGCAGGGCTGGGGGGGATTCTTGCTGGCAGGTTCCCCCCAACCCACCACTACCGAAACACCTCCTGGAAGGGGAAAACAGGCCCCTGTCTGGACAGGAGGCTAAACTGTTTTGGCATGAGGCCGTAGGAACAACAGAGACTGTGGGAATTCTCTCAGCAACCTCCATTGCTGGCTTATGATGAAAACGGCTTTGTAGACTGTATCCCTGGCCCTAGAGAGAGAAGGGCTATGTGGAGGGTTGCAGTGAGCCTCTGAAGCTAGCATAAACCACCTGGAAGCACGGGACGCAAGTGGACGAGGTCGGAGATCTGCCACAACATGTAAAATGGGCATTTACTCAGGTAAGTTATTATGGACACACCATCCAAAGTGTGCCAGTCTCTACTGTGAACAGCCAAGCATGGAATATGAATGTTCTATTTAAGGCATCCTGGTGTTAAAATTAGGATCCCATTTAAACAAGTGGCCATGGGCACTGAGGCCCAGATCCCCAAAGGTATTCCCATTGAAATCAGGAGGGGTTGGGTACCTTTGAGACCTGGGGCTGAGACCACATTCTTCAAATTCAGTTAGGCAGCTAAAGTTAGGCAGCTAAAGCCTAAATAAGTGGCTTGATTTCTAGAGGTGCTGAGCACTTGCAGGTCCTGTTGAAATCATTGGCAGTGAGATCCAAAGCCTTTGGTTGGCCTACCTTCTAGGGTGACCAGGTGTTCGGTTTTGACCAGAACACCTGGTTAAAAATGGACCCTGGTGGCTCCGGTCAGCTCCGCTGACCAAGCCATTAAAAGTCCGGTTGCTGTGCTGCAGGGCTAAGGCAGGCTAGTCCCTACCTTTTCTGACACCGCGCTGTGCCCCAAAAGTGGCCAACAGGTCTGGCTCCTAGGCAGGGGGGCCACAGAGTTCTGCGCACTGCCCCAAGCACTGGCTCCATACTCCCATTGGCTGGGCGGTGTCTGCGGGCAAGAGCAGCATGCAGAGCCAGGTGTGTGCCTCCGCCTAGGAGCCAGACCTGCTGCTGGCCACTTCTGGGGCACAGCCCAGTCCTTGATGCCAGGACAGGCAGGAAGCCTGCCTTAGCACCCCTGCTGCGCCACTGACCAGGAGCCGCTGGAAGTAAGCCCATGCCCCAACCCCCAGCCCCCTCCCACACCCCAACCTTCTGCCGGAGCTCAGTGAAAGTGAATGAGGGTGGGGGAGAGCGAGCCACCAAGGGAGGGAAATGTAGTGAGCAGGGTTGGTGGGGCTCGGAGAAGGGGCAGGGAAGGGGGCAGGGCTTCAGGGAAGGGGTGGGGCTAGGGTGTTCAGTTTTGTGCGATTAGAAAGTTGGCAACCTTACCTATCTCCAATAGCTAATGTGTTACCCAATCAGTGTTAGCACTGGCTACCTTGACCAAACTGAACACTTGCTACTTAGTTCAGTCCTCTAACTTGTTCCTCAACACCTGGGAGTCCATCCCCCATTGGTGACCTCCTTCCAGCACTTTCCCCTATGCTGAAAACATTAATGCTGGAGATCCCTGCCTTGTGAATAAATACAATTCCATGCCATTAAATAAAACGGTGGTTTGAAAACTGTTGTTTAGATTTTAACCTACAGGGTGTGTTAGTCTGAAGGCAAAGAGCCTTTTCAGCCCTTCTTCTGGTCCTGGTTGCTGCAGCAATCAGGATTCAGTTTAATTTTTGTAAGTGATTTGTTTAGCTGGTTTCAGAGACTGGCAATGGAAGATGGAACCTTTCACCTCTTCAGCACCCTTTCAGATCCAGCTCAGGGCAAGAGAGAAATGGAATGAAATGAGTTTGAGGACTTAGTTCAGTCGCTTGTGAACAGATGTTCACATCACAAAGCCCACCATCATGGGCTGCTGCAGCAGAAGAGCTAAGGGAGGAATGGGTCCCACAAATTAACTTCCGTCTCAGCCGGGGTGGGGGTGGGCTCTACAGGTCAGGGTTGAGACACATGGGTAAAACAGGGGGGGGGGGGGAAGACTGCCCTGCCTGTTGTGCAGTAGAATCATAGAATCATAGAATATAAGGGTTGGAAGGGACTGCCAAAGGTCATAGCCACCCCCTGCTCTAAGTGCCAATTCCCAGTACCCATGCTTGCAACCAAACTGATGCTCAGCTGGCTTGAGGCATTTACAGGTTTTGCTAGTCCCTGATCTTGTCAGTGCCAGAGACACAATCCCAGACTTGGGATGAGCCAGGGTGGCAAATCTATATGAAGTTCTATGGCGTCAGCATCTCAGGATCAACCCAGAGCAGACAAAGGCTTGCACAGAACTGCCTTCTGAGCGCCAGTCAGTGTTTTGTATTATAACAAAATCCCAACGTAAGAACTCTTCCAAGACATGGGTGCTACAAGTTCTGTCATTTTTGTTGTTGACAATCACAGAGTTAAACCGTTAACAAGGGAAACGTTTCCTTGACCCCTCTCTCTCCCCTCTCCGCATCTGTAATATATCAATAGCATCTGGGGTCACTAACCGGACTGGGACCCCATTGTACTATACAAACAGAAATTGACAGTCCCCTATCCAGTGAGCTTACTATTATCACGATACACATTTCTAAAGCACATTTCACCACACTGTGCCTGCCATTTAATTATTATAATTACAAGTAATTAACTATTATTAAAGTACTTCCTTTATTTTAAAAAGGAGAGCAATGATCTCCATACCCACATATACTTCAGCTTGAGCCTTGACTGCAATATAAAAAAAGAAAAGTAAGGATACCATTTTTCCTACTGTCATGGGCTCAGCCAAGCCTTACGTGCACATTACAGCCATCTCATCAAGGAAGCATCATGAACAGTTCTATTTTCAACTGAAAATGTTCAACTTTTGCAATGGAAAACAGCTCTCTTTTTAACAAAATGGAATTTTTTTTGTTTTGTTTTTTTAAATTTGAGGACACATTTGACAAGCTTAAATTTCATTTACAGCTGTTTTGCAGGCATAAAAAATAAAATAATAATCCTGAGCAGTTCTACTCAGGAGTCTTTTGCCTTTGGGGAGCTGGGTCTGCATACTGCCTTGGCTCACAAGTTAAATGAGCTGGGTGGGGGCTACATCACATTTGTTAGCCACCACATCACTTGCTGTGATGGCCAAGTCTCTGTTAGGCAGAGACCTAGAACTAGACCAGCAGGTGGGGTGAAAAGGATGTAACAGGATTTGAGGTGCAGTGGAGAAGTTGGGGTTGAGGGAGGTGCCTGCCTACACGAGGTCAGCCCTACCAGTACTGTCAGTCACTTCCAAGAGCATTAATTTACATACTAATTCAGAGATAAGCAAATAAACCTCTGCAGGAGAAAAGGGTCTGCCAGAAGTTTCATAAGAACACCACCTCCTCGCCCTCCATCACCACATATATACACTCGCTCTCTCTCTCCAGCCCATCAAGTTAATACATACAAAGGGGAGACCAGTTTTTACTCAGTATATAATTATCTTAGGTAAAACAGTGGCTTTAGAGAGGTTGGTGGGAAGGAATGCAGCAGTCAGACAAAGCTGAGAGGTAAATGGATATGCATTAGACCTGACCTGAGCCCAAGCCACAAAGACCAGATCTGGATCTGACCCCCTCCAAACATTCTGGTCCACTCAGGTTCTTATACAGCACACAGCACTCTGGTATCCCAACAGCACTCGGACCCAGGCTACTTCAGCCCATTATAGAGGGATTTCAGACACAGGCCCTGCATGGTCCACAGCATGCTGGGAGCTGGGATTTTGATTGAGGCCCACCTCTGCTTAGAGCAAAAGCCTTTGGCTGGATCCCAGCACTGGCAGATTATAAACAGACAGCCTTTTCTTACAGTGAGCGTGGGAGAGAAAAGGAGAACAGAAAGACAGAGGCTCTCTCTCGCTCCAGATGTCCCAAGAAGCATGACTGGCCCTACCTGTAGCAGTTCTTCAGCTCAGGTGTCCCCCAAAGGTGAATTTGAGAATGGTGTGTGAAGTGGCTGGAGCTGTCTCCCCCAGCTTCCTGCAGGTCTCTTCTTCACACTCCCCAGCAGCTGCAGTGGGTTACCTGCTAGGACTGGCTTCCGAAAGCCAAGCCTTGTTCTGAGGAGGAGATGTGGGTGTGTCTTGCCCTTCAGGGGAAGATCAAACAGGTTTCTCTGTTCAGATGCAATCTCCCTGCTCGAGGCCTCTTACCAAGGAGGTGCCCTTTTCCCCTCCGCATTCCTCGCATACCCTGGTGACGCTGAGTGGTGTTCAGATTATTACAAGAATAATCTGTCTAACAAATAGCAGCCTCTGCCAGAAGCAAAGCAAATACACTGTTCCAGCCACTGCTGTTGTACGGTGGAACCAAGCTGGCAAGACACCTGGATTGGTGCTCTGAGTATCATGCTGGTGGCACAACCGGAGTTCTTATTCAACGGGTTGTGTGTGTCCCATCCACCAACCAGGCCAGCTAGACAAGAAAAAGCATCAAGAAGAAACCATCTCTCCACTGGTTGTCTTCTGAAATTGGCAGGGGGTTGAAAGAAGCTTTCATCCTCACAGCACGGTCACTTCTTTGGGCACATGACACTGCAAAGAAAGCAGCTTCCTCTACTTCAAGGCCTAAGGCAAGTTGGGCCATAGCAAATCTAAGATAAACAGAGTGCTGAGCTGGATCTGGGGGCAGGTAAATATCTGTCCAGATTTGGCTGAGGGGAAGGTGGTCAAGTCTGTGGTAGCATTGCCCATTAAAAAAGGGAGTGCATCATTGGTTGACCCCACAGGGCATATGCTTGTCAGTATCCTGCACTTTTCAGCATGATGCCATCATATATGTTTGTAGGATAGGGATACCTGCACCAGGTCAGGGGCTCCTGCCCTTGGAAATAGACCTTCTGGGGTTAATTTAATCTGTCTTGTGGTGTTTGAACTCTTTACCAGTCTTCCCATGCGCTAGTCAAGGACTGGCACCACAGAGACTATAGCAACTGGGGGCAGTATATAAACATGGGGGGGGTCACTAGCCTGATATGCTGCCCATGTTGCAACATCCACTCCGCTATTTTTAACACCCTAGCTCCAGCAGATCTGGCCACCTGGGCTAGGAGGTTTGCTACTAGCTGCAGTGTAGACATATCCTAAGAGATGCCAAGGCAGTCATACTGTGCTCCCCAATTGGCAAATTCAGACATAACATAGAACTAGGGCTTCTGTTTTTCAGGATTCATTAATTTTATTTGGGGGAAGTTACTTTTAGCAATTTTTGAATGCTATGTAGATGTTCAGAAATGGCAAGTTTCTCTCACTTTGACACTGTAATGGGAAGGCGGTTTGGGTACTGCCCAAAATTCTTGTCTAAGTAGGATCTATGCTAATTTTTATTATATATATATTTAAAAAACATTTACAGATTAGTTTAAGCTTTGTATCCTTGTTATTGAAGCCCTGGTTTAGCATGTAGTGCATTGTTCCCGAAGGCACATTAACGTACTGTGTCAAACAGCACTACAGTTAAGCACTCTTTAGTGTGCATGTTAATGCACAACACCAGGAGAATCAGGCACAACACATTAGTGCGCTTTAGAAATCATAGCCCCCATATCTGCATTCCAACTCTATGTGGACAAGCCCTTATATACAAGCCGGGGTGCAGGGACATTGCCTATATAATCATACTGCACTGGGAAAGGGGTGAAAGGAACACAAATTGAGTAACTGGTGTCTGGCCAGTGTTGATTGACTAAACACCAATTTCTTTTTCTTTTTTTTTTTTTTTCTGATGGGGAGTTTTTATTATCAGTGTTTATTAGTTAAAAATCTAAAATCAGCTAACCTCTTCTTTGGCTATCTAGTATCAAAACCATGGTCCTGCCCCCATCACAGTAAGCAATGGCATTGTCCATGGATTGAAACACATCTAAGCGCTCACATTTGGTTACAAACTACTGAATCTTCATCACCAGGATGTGAGAAACCAAGCATTTCTTTTAAAAAAGGCGTACTACTCGCACCTTAGAGACTAACCAATTTATTTGAGCATAAGCGTTTTCCACAGTATGCATCTGATGAAGTGAGCTGTAGCTCACGAAAGCTAATGCTCAAATAAATTGGTTAGTCTCTAAGGTGCCACAAGTACTCCTTTTCTTTTTGCGAATACAGACTAACGGGGCTGTTACTCTGAAACCATTCAGTGGAAAGCATTTCTTTGTGCAGGCAGAGTCAGGATGAGCTCTACCCTGACATCTGGTGGTGAATTGTGACAAGTTGAGGAAAAGAACTTCAGGGAGCTGATCTTGTTTGCATAGGCACACCCACCCCGCCTAGCCTGAGCCCACAGCAGCCCAAATGGTCACTTTGGCTGCTGTGGGATCCCCAGTTTCTCTATTATTGGGGCAGGAAGAATAAAGTGTTGTTACCCTGTGTGATGTTATTGACTTGAACTGGGACCATATAGAACATTGTTGCAACCAAGGTCCTGTAGTGGCACCAAATCTTGTATAAAGGGGGGTCAAACAAGGTGCCCAAGACAAGGTTATGGTTTGCTGGTTATGATTATGCTATCTATAAGCATGTATCATTTTTGTATTTAAAGTTATAAGTACTGGCTCTATACTGTCTGTAGTTCAAACTTGTGCTATGCTTCTGGGTGACACCCCAGACAAGTTGGTGTCATCAGGTATACAATTGACCCATTGAGAGAAGGCAGACATGCCTTGGGACTCAGCAAGGTATGCAGGGACATGCCTATGGACAGAATTCTGAGGTTTTTCCATGCCATGTGATGGACAGCTTGTCTTTGGAACAAAGAAAGAAAGACCACATGGCAAGAGACTATAAAAAGCTTCCGCAGCGCCTCCATCTTGTCTTCAGTCCTGCTTCATACCTCTGGAGGAACTTTGCTACACTGAAACTTTGAACCCAGGACTGAAAGACCCATCCAGAGACTTGCTTTGAACCTGCAGTTTATTCTATCACTGCTGCAAGCCTGAACCAAGAACTTTGCCATTACTGTATGTAATTGATTCCATTTAATCAATTCTAGCTCTCATCTATATCTTTTGTCTTTTATGAATAAACCTTTAGATTTTAGATTCTACAGCATTGGCAATAGTGTGATTTGTGGGTAAGATCTGATTTGGAAATTGACCTGGGTCTGGAGCTTGGTCCTTTGGGATTGAGAGAACCTCTTTTCTTTTACTGGGGTATTGGTTTTCATAACCATTTGTCCCCATAACAAGTGGCACTGGTGGTGATACTGGGAAACTGGAGTGTCTAAGGGAATTGCTTGTGTGACTTGTGGTTAGCCAGTGGGCTGAGACCAAAGTTCTCTCTAGCTGGCTGGTTTGGTTTGCCTTGATGTGCACAGAGACCCCAGCCTTGGGCTGCAACTGCCCTACTTTAAGCATTTTGTCCTGAATTGGCACTCTCAGTTGGATCCCACCAGAACCAGCATTGTTACACCCTGATTATGTGAATCAAGGACAGTGAAACTGTTTTATGACAGGTGGACTCGCCACCAACTAAGTCGCACTTGCTAGACAAGGGACATGGGTTCCAAAACCCAATGAATTGAGAGAGGCTAGGGATAGGCATTTGTACTAGGTGGTGTGGGCCTGAAACACCAACCACCTCCTCCTCCTTCCCCCCCTCCCCCCACTGTGGAATATCAGAGCTAATTTTGGTTCCATTAGGAGTCTAGTTACAGGCTGCTGAGCTGAATTCACTTTGGGCCAATGGTGCACCAGCATTGACGCTCCCTTACTATGAGCTAAAATCATTAAGAGCTGAAATTACTGAGTGCTGTGTAAAGTAGTGGGGGGACCTGAAGATATATTGTGGCTGGCGGAGCAGAGCAGTTCACGGGACGGCTGGTGGAGTGGAGCAGAGTGGAGCAGTTTGTGGGACAGCTGGTGGAGTGGAGTGGCTTGCGGGATGGCTGGTGGAGCAGAGCAGCTTGTGGGACAGCTGGGAGAGCGGAGTGGCTCACGGTGAAGGCTGCAGCAGAACCCTATGGAGAGGCAGGGCAGTCGGCCCTCGGACCATGTAAAATGCCCCTTAACAGCCCCCACACACACATTTCCACCCAGGCTGAGAGGTAAAACTCTGCAGATAAACTTTTGAACTCTGGGGCTACACTGACCAGGGACAGAGACTTTTGGGTTGTTGGACTTTTGGGACTTTGGGTGATTTTTGGGTTGCTGGACTCAAGAACCCAAAGGAAAGGACACAGCCCAATTTGCTGGGGTGGGTCTTTGCTCATGGTTTGGTTTATGAACCCTAGTTGTGATGTTTTCCCAATTTAATGCTGATGTTGTTTACCTCATGTTGTTAAAGATTTTCTGCTACACCGAGACTCTGTGCTTGTGAGAGGGGAATTATTGCCTCTGAGGCACCCAGAGGTTTGTGTAAGATTTTCCCAGCCCACTGGGTGGGGCTTGAGCCAGTTTTGCATTGTGTTGTTGAGAGGGAACCCCTATGTACTGAACCTGGCCCTTGCTGCTATCAACGTGGCGTGGCAGAAGGCTTACATTTGCAACTGGTTTAGACCACAATGATGCCAGAAGGGCACTGAGAATGAAGAGCTGAAACTACAAGTGTAAACAGACTTCCTTCCATTGATTTGTATTTATATCTGGTGTAAAGGTAGCCCTAGGAAGGTTCTGTTGGTGACACTAGGCACTACACTAGGTAACTCGGGAGGGTGGCAGACCATGAGTGTTGATAAAGCCCTCTTGCTCTAGGCCCAGATAAACTAAGGGTATGTCTACACTACGGAATAAGGTCGAATTTATAGGAGTCATTTTTTAGAAATCGGTTTTATATATTCGAGTGTGTGTGTCCCCACAGAAAATGCTCTAAGTGCATTAAGTGCATTAACTCGGCGGAGTGCTTCCACAGTACCAAGGCAAGCGTCGACTTCCGGAGTGTTGCACTGTGGGTAGCTATCCCACAGTTCCCGGAGTCTCCGTGCCCATTGGAATTCTGGGTTGAGATCCCAATGCCTGATGGGGCTAAAACATTGTCGCGGGTGGTTCTGGGTACATATCGTCAGGCCCCCGTTCCCTCCCTCCCCTCCCTCCCTCCGTGAAAGCAAGGGCAGACAATCGTTTCGCACCTTTTTTTCCTGAGTTACC